AAGCTTCTCTTCGGAGAGGCATATTGCATTCTTCTTACAAATGTGAATGGCGATGTCATGTTCCTCAAAGCTGAGTCCGACCTCCTACCAAATAATCTTGGGTGTCCAAACAAGAAATTTCCACTGCCTCTTGTCTGCTTAAGAAAATTTCCTAACCCTGTCCATTTCCCAGTTTTATACTATTTGTTATGGTGGTTAGTGTGGAGTTGGGGACTAATGTAACCAATCAGTTTGAATTGCCTGCACTAATTAAAAAGGTAACACTCTCATGTCAACTGTGTTAATTTACTAATCTTGCATTGGCCGCTAAAGTAATCACATATTACCTTGTTTTAACCATTACTTCTTTGCTCCTGTGAAACACCCTCGATGCGACTATAGCTCCCACGTGTCGAGGCACGACTTAGAGACATAATCGCATTGAAGGCATATGTCGCAAGTGAGGTAATCGTCACACAACCCATGTAATACATAAGGTAAAGAGATACATAGTTGGCTTACAATCGCCACTTCACACCATTACATAAATAAACATTACATCAATCAAATACACTCATGGTCCGACTACGGAACCAAAATAAAAGAACCCCAAATGCGACAAAGGTCCCCGATCGACCCCAACTGGGCTCCACTACTGATCAACTAGAATGAAACAACACAAAGGACAAGGTCGTCATCGAGCTCCTCCTGAGCTTGGTTGCGTCATCTGCACGGACTCATCGACACCTACAAGCTGGTTTTGGAAGTATCTGTGAGCCACAGGGACTCAGCAATCTCGCACCCTCGCGATCAAGACTATTTAAGCTTATGGGTAAGGTAAAGGTATGAGGTGGAGCTGCAGCAAGCGACTAGCATATATGGTGGCTAACATACGCAACTGAGAGCGAGAAGAGAAGGCAAAGCACGGTTGATAAAAGTATGATCAAGAAGTGATCCTGGACTACTTACGTCAAGCATAACTCCAACAACCGTGTTCACTTCCCGGAGTCCGCCGGAAAGAGACCATCACGGTTACACACGCAGTTGATGCTTTTATTTCGGATCTGGTGTCAAGTTATCTACAACCGAACATTAACAAATTCCCATCTGCCTATAACCGCAGGCACGGCTTTCGAAAGATTATACCCTGCAGGGGTGTCCCAACTTAGCCCATGACAAGCTCTCGCGATCAACGAAGGAATAGACCTTCTCCCAGGAAGACCCGATCAGACTCGGAATCCCGGTTTACAAGACATTTCGACAATGGTAAAACAAGACCAGCAAGACCGCCCGATGCGCCGACAATCCCGATAGGAGCTGCACATATCTCGTTCTCAGGGCAACACCGGATGAACACTACGTACAACTAAAACCAGACCTCGAGTTCCCCGAGGTGGCGCTGCAAGTGGCTCTGGTTCGGACCAACACTTAGACAAGCACTGGCCCGGGGGGGCTATAATAAAGATGACCCTCGAGAGAGCGACTCCCAAGGGAAAAGTAGGTGGTGGTGAGGCAAATGGTAAAAGTCAATGTTGGGCCTTGCTGGAGGAGTTTTATTCAAAGCGAACTGTCAAGGGGGTCCCATAAATCACCCGACCGCGTAAGGAACGCAAAATCCGGGAACATAACACCGGTATGACGGAAACTAGGCCGGCAAGAGTGGAACAAAACACCAGGCAAAAGGCCAAGCCTTCCACCCTTTACCAAGTATATAGATGCATTAATTATATAAGATATATTGTGATATCCCAACCAAAATCCTGTCCACCAAGGAGAAATCTTCAACTTCACCTGCAACTAGCAACGCTATAAGAGGGGCTGAGCAAGCGGTAACATAGCCAATCAACGGTTTGCTAGGACATGGTGAGTTAGAGGTTTGACATGGCAATTGGGAGGCTGACAAGCAAATGGTAGGCATCGAAGCATTGGCATAGCAAGAGCGAGCAAACTAGCATAGCAAAGATAGTAGTGATTTCGAGGGTATGATCATCTTGCCTTAAATCCCGCAAGGAAGAAGAACGAGTCCATGAAGAAGACAAACGGACGTAGACGAACGGTTCCTCACAAACGCGACGTTGTCGGAAACAACCCGAAGAAGCACACCGGAAAGAAGCAAACAACATAGTAAACAACAAACACATCAACATGGCATGAAGCACAACCAAGTATGATGCATGTCCGGTTTAATGAGGCACGGCATGGCAAAATGCACAAGCAATCCTACAAATTAAGTGGAGCTCAATATGCATCGGGATGCATATTGACAGAGCACCACATCAATTATTTAGTTTGATCTCGTTTATGTACCCAACAATATTAAATGTTGATTAACATGGCAAGAGGTGAAGCAAATGTAAACTACCTATCTAGTCAAGGTTAAATGAGGCCGGAAGCAACGAACAACAATTCCGGAAACTCCTCATATGCATATATTAGGTTTGGTACTGTTCTGCTCTAAACATAATTTTATAGTTTTTAAACATGCAAAGTAAAGCCACCATGTTAAACTAGGCATTTTTCTACCCCATTTACATATAAAGTTTATTTAAATCGGAGCTACAGTTATTTAGTTATGAATTAAATCATTTCAACATGGCATAGGAGCAAAATTTAAACAAACATCATTTTAAACATTTTAAACATGGGTGAAAGTGACATATTATTAATCTACACATAATTTTAAGCAAGTTTCATATACAAAGTTTTTACAAAGGATGCACGGTTGATTAGTTATTAAATGCATGAAGCTAGGGGGTTATTCTGCAAAACTGCAGTCTCAGGAAAATTGCGAAAATCGCAACAGAGGAAAAAAACATGCATCGGGCCGAAACTGGGGTAGGTCCAACAGTGAGGAGAAAAAAAATAGAGGAGGGGGCGCTGGGGTCGGCTCACCCTTGGGCCTGGCCCAGCAGAGGAGGAAGGAGGCTGAGGCGAGGCCGGCTGGGCTGGCGCGGTGCGGATCTGGACCGAAGGCGGGGACGGCACGCTGGGCCTGGGAGGCCACGGTGGGGATGAGGCCGGCTGGGCCTCGCATCTGGGCCGGCGCGGATGAGGTGGCCCACGCGGGGAGGGATCTCGTCTTCGAGCGGGGATCTGGTCCCCGATCCATGGCGGCGACGGCGACGGCAAGCAGAGGGCTCCGGCGAGCTTCGAGGCGAGGCGAGGCGGACCCTGATAGATCCGGCGAAGCCGGATCCGATCCGGGCGAAGACGGCGGCGCTCGCGGCGACGAGGCCAGGCGACGAGGAGGAGAAGGGCGGCGGAGAGGGGCCGGCGAGGCTGACGAACTCCGGCGAGCGGCGTCGTCGGGCGGCTAGCGTCGAGACAGCGTGCGGCGGCGCAAGGGAGGACCGGGCGGCACGGATCCGGCCTCCCCGTGGGCTCGGGCGGCGGCGTTGGATGGGCCGCGGGGGCCGGTTGCGGGCTCTTCGGGCCCGGCGGCGAAGTGGGGCAGCGCGGTGCCATGTGGCGCGCGGTGAGTGGAGGGGAAGCGGTGGCGGGGAGACGTGGCGTCTTCTGATTGGCTGGAGTGAGGTGGCGCGTGGGGGCGGACATGTCCGGTGCAGCACGGACGCGTCCGGTGGCGCGGGGAGGAGTGGATCTAGGGTTTAGACTGCGAAATGATCCGAAATTTCGGGGAGGGGCTATTTATAGGCATAAGTGGAGCTAGGAGAGTCCAAATGAGGTGCGGTTTTCGGCCACGTGATCGTGATCGAACGACCGAGATGATGAAGCAGAGTTAGGTGGGTTTTTGGGCCAAAATGGAAGGGTGTTGGGCTGCAACACACACGAGGCCTTCTCGGTCCCTCGGTTAACCGTTGGAGTATCAAACGAAGTCCAAATGATACGAAACTTGACAGGCGGTCTACCGGTAGTAAACCAAGGCCGCTTGACAAGTCTCGGTCCAATCCGGAAATGTTTAATCCCCACACAAGAAAGAAAGGTAGAAATGATCACCGAAGGAGAACGAAGCGCCGGATTGCGAAACGGACAACGGGAAAAAAGCTCGGATGCATGAGACGAACACGTATGCAAAAGGAATGCACATGATGACATGATATGCAATGCATGACACGCAAGCAATGACAAGGCAACACCAGCGAATAACTGAACGACACCAGGCACATCGGTCTCGGGGCGTTACATCCTGCTATGGGCAGAGGAGCCCACGGAGTCGCATGTTGATATCTCCAACAAAACTAGATCAATAAATATGGTGACCAGGGAAAATTATCTAGTCAGGGAAGATATTTCCTCACCCAGAATATAAAGCACACACCTTCCCAAGAATTGTCTTTCATTGAGACTTTGTTCGACGAAACCTCGAGTGCGTTATACAGAATTCATATCGTTAGATTTGTATTGAAAAGCACTTTCCAGTGGTGTCGGGTTGTATAAAATAGATGGTAAAAGTTAAATCTTCAAAATCACGTGCACCTTGTATTTCTTGACGGAGAGAGTATTTAGTTAGGAAAGATTAACTTAAATATGAAGATAGAGATACCGTTTAGTAGGAAAGTGATGATTCTGTTTTTGGCGTTCAAGTCGATTCTTCCCTATAAAAGGGATACCATGTAGGCTTCATCAGTTAAGTGATGAGAAGGTTAAACTACTAGTAAAGATCTAATCCCAGATTCCGAGTATCTGCCTTCATCCCTCTCATCTCCAGCGCCGTGGCTGGCCTACCCTCTCTGTTCAGAGCCATACCCCCCAGCCCTGTCTTGTTCACTGGTCTTAAAACTGACACCAAGTCTAGCACGTGAGAAAGAAACCTGTTCCCTTTGTTTAGATTCATTTGCCCTGCTCTTTCTTTCATTTACTAGTCTGGGTGGATCTATTATGATTCCCGTCTTTCCACTTGATATACTCCTATATTATTGGAACGTCGACATCTTTATGCGTTAATAGTCTTCTCATGAGGTGGCTTATGACTCCTTCTCTTGACTAAGTGACTGACTTTGCAATCGTGGTGCAAACAGTACATACTTCCTTTCTTTTTTGACAGCTTGTCTGCTTTTGAAATGTGCTTTGTACGATCTGTGTCTTTTATATGGTAAGATGCTGCGGGCATCTCACCTGCGCACTCACTATGTTGTCTTTACTTGATCAATCATCTTAATGTATTTATTACGTATACTTTGACTGGCTATGCATGTATAAAAGGCTTCAACCTTCGAAGTGACAGGGACACAAAAACTCAACCCACAGATAGGGGGATGGAGGCCATTGTATGTGCAACACATGGAGCCATGGGCTCCGTGCTACGGAAGCTGGGTGCTTTGCTCTCTGATGAGTATAAACTTCTCAGAAGTGTGAAAGGTGATGTCATGTTCCTTAAAGCTGAGCTTGAGAGCATGCATGCTTTTCTCAAGATGATGTCCGAGGTTGAGGATCCTGATGAGCTGTCCAAGTGCTGGATTAAGGAGGTACGAGAGCTGTCCTACAACATCGAGTATGGCATCGACAGTTTCATGCTGTCCCCGTGTGGCGAGTCCAGCCGCAAACCCCGTGGCTTCAAGGGACGCCTCAGCAGGTGCATGGATATAATGACAAATTCCAAGACGCGCCATTGCATTGCCAAGAAAATCAAAGTTCTCAAACAAGATGCTATTGAGGTCAGCAGTCGGCGGGCGAGGTACAAGGTTGACGATGTTGTCTCCAAGCCGAGCAGGATAAGCATAGATCCCCGCTTACCAGCATTTTTCACCGAGATGACGAGGCTCGCTGGCATTGATGGCCCAAAGGATAAACTCATCAAGTTGCTAACTGAAGGGGAAGTTGCAATTGCACAGCAGCTAAAGGTGGTGTCCATTGTTGGAATTGGGGGCCTTGGAAAGACTACTCTTGCTAATCAAGTGTACCAGAAGCTGGAAGGGCAATTTGAATGTCAAGCTTTCGTGTCGGTGTCCCAAAAACCCGACTTGAAGAGGATTTTGAGAAATATACTCTCTCAGATCTGCTGTCAAGAGCGTGTCAGCAACGAAGAATGGGATGAGCAGCAACTCATCAACACAATAAGACAGTTCCTCAAGCATAAAAGGTGTGCCTTATTTACTCATAACAATCTTATTTCGGAAATGTCATCACTAATTTATTATACATTCATATGAACTTTGTGTTAGTGCTACATCAGCTTTATCTGTAGGATAATATATGTACACTATTCTTACTAGTTACTAGTACTAGTTACTAGCACTACTGCTATTCACTGGTTGCAGCTCTAGGAATACATGTTCTAATTTGTAAAGTTTGTGATAGGTACTTCATAGTAATCGATGATATATGGGGCACCCCAGCATGGAGAGCAATCAAATGTGCTTTTCCTGAAAATAGTTCTTCCAGCAGAATACTGACAACAACACGTATCCTCACAGTAGCCAAGTATTGTAGCCATGATCGTGTGTATGAAATAAAGCCTCTTAGTGCAACTCACTCTAAGAGCTTATTTTTCAAACGAGCATTTGGCTGTGAAGGTGGATGCCCTCTTCAACTGAGGGAAGTTTCAGATGAAATATTAAAAAAATGTGGCGGCTTGCCGTTGGCAATCATTACAGTAGCTAGCTTATTGGCAAATAAAGCTAGTACCAGAGAAGAATGGCTGAGAATACGGAATTCTCTTGGTTCAGCACTTGAAAAGGATTTAGACATGGAAGAGATGAAGAAGATATTGTTCCTTGGTTACAATGATCTCCCCTACCATTTGAAGACATGTTTGCTATATCTAAGTATATTCCCTGAAGATTATGTGATCAAGAGGGATCGGCTGGTAAGGAGATGGATCGCGGAAGGTTTTATCATTGTAGAAGGTGGACAGGATCTGGAGGAAGTAGGAGAAGGCTATTTCAGCGATCTGATAAACAGAAGCTTGATTGAACCAGTTGAAATCCAGTATGATGGTCGAGCTGATGCTTGTCGTGTCCATGATATGATTCTTGACCTAATTATATCCAAGTCAATTGAAGAAAATTTTGTAACCTTATCTGGTGACAGCAAACATAACTCACTTCCATATGATAAGGTTCATCGACTATCCCTGAACTATCATGCTCAAGAACATACTATGGTACCATCGAACATGGTTGTCTCTCATGTTAGATCCCTCACTATCTTTGGATGTGCCGAAGCTGAACACATGCTTTCTCTTTCAAACTTTCAATCCGTAAGAGTGTTAGATATAGAAAATAGAGAGGTGTTGGAACACAAATATCTTGAACACATAAGCAGGCTTTCTCAGCTGAAGTACCTTCGACTCAATGTTAGAAGAATCACAGCACTTCCTGAACAACTTGGAGAATTGCGGAATTTACAGACCTTAGACTTAAGATGGACATGGGTAAAGAAGTTGCCAGCTAGTATTGTTCAACTACAGCAACTGGCATGTCTGTTAGTTAAGAGCGCAGAGTTGCCCGAAGGGATTGGGAATATGCGAGCTCTACGGGAATTATCAGAGATTGAAATCAACCAGAATACCTGTCTGACCTCTTTGCAGGAGCTGGGCAGTCTGACCAAACTAAGAATACTTGAGCTGAACCTGAATTGGCACATAAGTAGTACAAACAGTGGCATGAAAGCTTGTGTAGATAACTTGGTCATGTCCCTCTGCAAACTAGGCATGCTCAACCTTCGTTCAATACATCTTCAGAGCTACCATTCTTGTTCCCTTGATTTCCTAATTGACTCTTGGTTTCCTCCTCCTCATCTACTCCAGAGATTTGAGATGTCCATTAACTACTATTTCCCCACAATCCCAAAGTGGGTAGCCTCACTTGAGCACCTCTCTTACCTAGGCATCTATGTCAATCCAGTGGACGAGGAAACATTCCGAGTCCTTGGTAACCTGCCCTCTCTATTATTTCTCTGGATAACTTCAAGAACAGCAAGACCTATAGAAAGGCTCATTATCAGCAATAATGGATTCCGATACCTGAAAGAATTCTACTTCACTTGCTGGGACAGCGGGGCAGGGCTGATGTTTGAAGCAGGAGCCATGCCGGAGCTTGAGAACCTTCGGGTTCCATTTAATGCGCATGATGTGTTCCCTTCGAGTGGTGGTCTTGATTTTGGCATCCAGAATCTGTATTCGCTCAAGCATCTCCACATCGAGATAGTTTGTTATGGCGCGAAAGTTAGGGAGGTGGAGGCCTTGGAGCATGCTGTCAAGAATGCGGCTGGCTGTCTTTCAGACGAGCTCACTCTTGAAGTGAATAGATGGGATGAAGAAGAGATTGTTAAGGATGGGGAGCATAAACTGGCAGAGGAGGAGGTTGAGCTGTCAATTGAGTGTGTAACACATCATTGAGGTACTACTATTCATTCCCTTATGCCACAACTGCTGTACATTTCAGATATATTACTGCTTGGGTATTTATTAGAGTAGAGACTGGAGTAGGAATGTAGGTGAGCATGAAAATCACACACATTTTTTGGTTCTTACATTTTGGATACATTAGTGTTCAGGATCCTTGATCTTCCATACTTACTTCTTGGATGTTTTGCAGCTCTCTTGCCAATGAAGCCTGCTAGTTTCATAGAATCGTGTAGTTTTTTTTTTCCTTCTGCGTTTGACTATTTCTGCATGGAGAAATGCAGACTGCTGAACCTGCACAATTTGTATATGGACTGCTGCCATAGGAAATTTTGAGTAAATGCAGATTGATTCTTTGTTAATTGCTATTGCAGATTCAGTGCAACTTTTAGTTAATTGAAAACCAGATCAGCTGCTCCCGCTTGCGCATCATACACATCTTTTTTTCTTCTTCCAAGAAACCTCATCATATGTGTGTCTCTCACTTCCTGAATGGTGCAAGGATTGTCCGCAATCAGACGGTTTAGTAAGCTATCACGGGATTGCTCTGATGTTGGTGCTACTAGTGTATTGCCAGTATTTTGTCTTCCCATTTGTTCAGTGTCCACATACATTTTTTCCACCACTTGATGTTTACATTCTGCTACTGCTAATTTAAGTGGGATCTTATCATTACTAGTTGATTCATTGTAGAATTTCATCTTTCTCAGTTTGCCAGTTATTCGTGGTATTGTTAGGAAACAAATATCTCACTCAGCCTAGTTTCATCTGCAGGGTTCATGAAGGGTATTCATTTTGAGACGCTAAAACTCGCTGAGGCGTTGTCGTGATTAACTGAATACTCCATGGGAGTGTGGACTGCTTTTACCAAGGTTTTATATTTTGGTCCTTGAAGATTTTCATGTTGGTAATGATCGACTCCGGCAACTAAATGCTCGAAGGCCCCATTTGGAACACTGGATACGTCTGCGGGAAAATGGACCGATTGATGCGAAACGGAAATGGCCTGTGATTCCAGTTCCTTTCTTTTGGTTGGAATGGGTTGGCGGAAACCCTTTTCAATTCGCCAGTTCCATTTCGTTTTTTTTATGTAATTTTTTGTTGATTAACGCATGCTAGGGTTTGATATGATAACATTGGCATTGTAACAGCCTTGTTGTTTCTGACACTAGTGACTACTACCTCCGTTTCAAAATATAACACGTTTTTGTAGGCTAAACTCTAGCCTATAAAAGAGTCTTATATTTGGAGATGGAGGTAGTACAATTTTTTACTTATCCAGTGGAAATTATTAATTACTCTTGATGATTGTATGCAACCCAATAAGAAATCACAGCGAAATTATCAACTGTTCTATTTGTGTTTATTTCTAGGCAACTCTTTGGAAAAAACTACTCCCTCCGTTCCTAAATACAAGTCTTTATAGAGATTCCACTATGGATCACATTCGGATATATATAGATGCACTTTACAATGTAGATTCACTCATTTTGCTTCGTATGTAGACCACATAGTGAAATCTTTACAAAGACTTATATTTAGGAACGGAGGGAGTACAACCATAGCAAAACAATTGCCTGCCACCAGGGATGCATTTTTAGTGAACAAGCAACGTAATTTTATCGTTCTAAAAATAAATTTATCTAGCAAAAAGTACAATTCAAACTGCAATTTCAGTGCCTTTTTTTTTGAACATTAGTACAGACAAAAGCGCTCATACATACGCGCATACACTCACCCCTATGAACACACACACCCATGATTTTTTTTTTCAAAACTATCACTATTTTTATAGAAAATTTGAAAACTATAGCACCCAATGCAAAAAAAATCAAAACTATGACTCCGTCGGCCTTGTGTGGGCCGAAAAGAGAGTTTTCGGCCAGGATTTGGCCAAAAAGGGCTTTTCGGCCGTGCTTTGGCTGAAGAGGTGCGCACCCGGGCCTAAAAGATCTTTTTGGCCAACAGTAGGTTGAAAAGGTCTTTTTGATCAGCAGTAGCCCGAAAAGTCCCTGGGGCCCATCTTTTCACGTTAACGGGTGGCCAAAGCTGCATGGCTCCACTCTTCGGCGTATGTTAGGCCGAAATGATTTTTTTTTATTTTGGCTTATGCATACTATGCAATCATTGCCCATCTTAGACATTGAAAAAATATATTTCGTGCAACCCTTTCCCCTCAATATTTTCTCGCCAACTCTTTCCCTCCATATGTTCCCACCACCCGTTTCCCGCCAACCCCTTTCCGCCATATCTTCCCACCACTCGTTTCCCGCCAACCCCTTCCCGCCATATGTTCCCGCCAACCCTTTCTCGCCATACCGCAGTCGTTCTTTCCCACCATTTTCTCCTCTCTACCTATAAAACCCCCTTCACACGGAAGTGTATAAGCAGTCTAGTGTAGTGTAGTCAAGATGTTCGATTATCCTTTCGATCATAGTTTTCACCCTGGGATGAGCAGATGTCTTCTGAGGCTAGCCACCGATTTCAGGATGGACAATAGGATAGTTTCACGGGACGAACTCACCGGTAGTGACACCATAATGAATGAGTTGGCTCACGAATTACGTAGGTCTGGGTGGCCTGAAAGGACCTATGAGGAGGTACGTAAAGAACTTTTTAGGTTGCATGAAAGGTGGAAGAAGGTAGTGGAGCCGAAGAGTGAAACTTTCAGAAGGACTGCAACAAAGAATCCATATTTATGGACTGCTGACAGCGAAGACGAAGATGATATCTTCATGCCGAGCACCAAGGCCAAGAGTACCGCACCGTCGAAGGGCAAGAGTAGTGCCGCATCGTCGAAGGGCAAGAGTGTTGCATCGACGGAGGGCAAGAGGACCGCAACGTCGACTACACTACACTGGACTGCTTATCCACCTCCGTGTGAAGGGGGTTTTATAGGTAGAGAGGAGAAAATGGCGGGAAAGAACGACTGCGGTATGGCGGGAAAGGGTTGGCAGGAACATATGGTGGGAAGGGGTTGACGGGAAACGGGTGGCGGAAACATATTTTTTTTCAATGTCTAAGATGGGCAATGGTTGCACAGTATCCATAAGCCAAGATAAAAAAAATCATTTCGGCCTAACATAAGCCGAAGAGTGGAGCCATGCAGCTTCGGCCATCCGTAACATGAAAAGGTGGGGCACAGGGACTTTTCGGCCTACTGCTGACCAAAAAGGCCTTTTCAGCCTGCTGCTGATCAAAAAGGTCTTTTTGGCCCAGGTACGCACCTCTTCGGCCAAGACATGGCCGAAAAGCCCTTTTTGACCAAATCCTAGCCGAAAACTCTCTTTTCGGCCCACACGAGGCTGACGGGGTCATAGTTTTGTTGGGTGCTATAGTTTCTGAATTTGCTATAAAAATAGTGATAGTTTTGAAAAAAAATCCACATACACACCCTACCCCTATGAGCACCTCCGAAGGCGCCTCGTCGTCAACGGGAACGTCTCCTCCCACTGAAAGCGCATCGCCGGAAATTCTGAAATAAATTCAGAAATAATACGAGCACCAGGATTTGAACTCTGATGAGCTGGGATACCATTGTCCCTCTAACCATCCAACCACAGGCCCACTTGGTTCGCTGTAATTTCAGTGGCTAGATTTGCAATGGTAAGCAAAATGGGCCAGCGGCCGCACTACCCAACGAGACAGAAGCATATCAGAGGCCGGGCCACCCAACGAGAGAAACGACAATATGGGCCTAAGAGAGGCATGCGTTGGTACCTCTGTAAGCCCAAGACAGCCTAGTGAGTGAGCGCACACAAGTCACAACTCGACGCGACGAGTCGAGGTCGAAGGCAAAAGGGAGAAGAGAACCCCACAGCCTCGGCCGCAAGGAAGGAAGCAGGAAGGCATCGGCTGCGGCGGCGAAGATGGTGAAGGCGCGGATGACGACGGCGGACGTGGCGGCGGAGGTCAAGTGCCTCCGCCGCCTCATCGGCATGCGCCTCTCCAACGTCTACGACATCACCCCCAAGGTCGGTCGTCCAGTCCCCACGCCGCATCCCCGTTCCTTCCTCTCCCCGCTCTTCCGCCCGCGTCAAACCCTAGCTGCGGAACACTAGCGGCATAGCCGGCCTCCCGGGGAGGCGAGTAGATGCGGCGCACGACGATCAGGTTGGGAGACTCGTGTAGGTTTATATACGTGGCTTGGCTTCTCCGGGGGCTGTGCTCTGATTTAGCGGTACTTGGATTGGTACTGGAAGGCTTTGTGTAGTTCACTTTAGCATTGGTGGCACTAGGTTCCAACAAACGAATTACTCTATCTGGAAAGGAATCTGAACAAACAGTCGGGCTAGGATTGCTTAGCTGATGGTGATTCTGCCTTGATGGCGATTCTGGGTGCCGTGAGGTTGCCTTGTGTTGGATGTGTAAATATTTGATTGTCTTAGTCTCTGAAATTCTGTTATCAAAATTGCCAAATTGGATAGATTCACCGTGCTATTTGCTGCCAGGGAGGCGAGTAGAGGTAGATGTGGCGCACGCCGGTCAGGTTGGGAGGCTTGCGTAGGTTTCTACGTGGCTTCTCCAGGGCTATGCTCTGACTTGGCGGAACAGTCAGTCGGAACTTGGATTGGTACCGGAAAGCTTTGTGTAGTTCACTTTAGCACTGGTGCCACTAGGTTCCAACAAACAAATTACTCTATTTAGAAAGGAAATGGGACACACGGTTGGGGTAGGGTTGCTACCCTGATGGCGATTCTGCAGTGCTGTGAGGTTGCCTTGTGTTGGATTGTGAAAATATTTAGTTGTCTTAGTCTCTGAAAGTTTTGTTGTGAAAAATCGCCAAATTGGTTAGATTCATGGTGCTTTGTGCTGACTGTCGTGTTACGCGGGCTGCCGATACACATTTCATGCAATTCATTGGGATATTAGATTGTTGTGTTGTCTTCTGCTTTTAGAGGACCAATGTTTTTTTTAATATATGCTGTTTCCACGGAGGAACTGCTGGCAATCCAGTGCATCATCTCCATTTCTGGAATATATTTGCTTTTGGTGGACCAAATGTTCTTTTTAAACTTTCCTGTTTCCACCAAGAAACTGCTGGAAATCCAGTGCACCATCTCTCCTCTAGTGGAATGCATTCAAGCTCTAGCAATCTTGCATGCCGTATCTGTTTTTGATATGTACTGTGATGTTTTACATAAGCCTTTTTATGCTTGTACAGACTTATCTTTTCAAGCTGATGAACAGCAGTGGAATCACCGAGTC